ATAAGGGAAGGATAAGGTCAAATTTCATGAGGACATTTTTGTTTGATCCCTTCTTACGCCCTCTACCTCGAGAGGCTTGTGATTACTCGAGGACTGACGAATCACCCATTCTTACGCTCTTGTCGAGGGTAGACTAATCGATCCATATTCCCGTCGAAGGTGGGTTGATACAAAGGTTTGCCAGAAGTATAGATCTGAGCTTCTGTGGGAAGAGGAGACAAAAAGAAAATATTTGGATATTTTGAGGGAAATATGGACAAGACAACAATCGAAGAGGAGGTTCGACTTAGCCACCCATTCATCTGGTCGAGACATAGACGAGAGGGTTAGATGTGTCGTCCTTCATCCGATAAAAGTTTATGAAGTAGACAAGAAGAGAATTGTATTAAAAAAACCTTATTGGGAAACGACTTTTTATAGGAGTAAGGTCCAAGTATAACCCTTGATGGCCGCCCTCCTTCTAGCATCATCCTATTGATGGTGCTTATCCACTGGTTACGATAAATGTGTTTAAGAAAGTTTAATCGGGGGTTACAACATAAGGATAATGCTCCCCTACCCACGGTGGGCACATGTTAATATGCCCACCGCTTATGTTGCATGCACACATTGGTGTTGTTAATATGTTCAAAAAAATACATCACCAATGACAATGAGTGCCTGCCACATAAGCGGCGAACATACTAATATGTGCCTACCGTGGGTAGGTGAGCATTACACTACAACATAATAATGGTAGATTTTTGTGATATTGCATATTGAGAGATTGAATTAAAATAAATATCCGTAAAAAAAACAAGACATCGATATTGTCGATCGACTATTGCAATTGACAAGAAGATTATTCTCCAAGATTTTATTTAACAATTGAATGAATACAACCAAATTTTTTGTAGTCTATGATCTCGAAAGACCAGGTTATGAGGATAGTGTATGTGTATGTGGCATGTATCGATTGATTGATCGATTCTTGCTTGCCTATTGAAGGACCCAGAGGTCGGTATTTATAGAAAAAAACTGATGGCACATTAAATGTGGAGTGCTAGCCAGGGGCGTAAGTTGGCGTCACATATGTTTCATGCAATATTGATTGTACAACTTGGGAGTGTTATCAGCTTTGTCAGTTTATGTTCGGACGATAAAGGTGATCCTCATCCTTCTCTGGAATGCTTCCGCAGGGTGACCGACAACCCTAACATCGTTTGGTTGGGCCGTCCACGAGATGGATTCTGTACTTTGGGACTTGTCCGTCCTTTGGGCTTAAATTTGCACTGAACCCTGCTTTCTTGTTTGAATTTGATATTTTTGGGTGTAACATCATCTTTCATATTTTGAGAAGTAACTTGATTCATCGGAGGTCTACAGCTGGAAACACTCCCGACGTGTTTTGCAAGATATTCTGAAGATCAAATCGGTTCGTGGTTAATGGAAGAACGATCGAGGACGAATTGCACATCATAATGAAAAATGAATTTATATTGAATACTATATAATACGTTGAATTTTATTATTTAATTGTATTAATTAAAACTGAAGAGTAAAAAAATTGGAATAAACAACATTTTTCTGAATAAAAATTATAGTAATTATAGTTTTAACGACAAAAAAAAAATCTAGCGAGATGAAAATGAAAATAATTTATACACAATATCTCCATAAAAACAATTTATTATTACACAAATAAAGGTATTTCATAGTTTATGAAAGAGGCTTCGTTCTATATCAATATTTAGAAGATATTTTAGCGATCCCATTTAAAGGGAAAATTAAAAGAAAATGAGAGGCCAAACGATTTGTCCGACCAAAGATTTATATTACACGCTCTATATGATTAGCTAATAGTTGATGCTGTGAATACGGTTTTGCTATGGAGCCAACAGTTGGCTCCATAGTGGTGCCAACCTTCTATATACGACAAATAAACTTACCATATTCTTTGATTATCTAAATAACATTAATATAATTCAATTGATATGGTAGGTTATTTGTTGTATATAGAAGGTTGGCTCTACTATGGAGCCAACTGTTGGCTTCATAGCAAAACCGGCTGAGAATAATGAGCTTGTTAAGGCCATTCAGGATGAGGAGATCAAGACTGTCCTGTTCAACATGGATCCTGAGAAAGCCCCAAGGACTGATGGTATGTCTGCAATCTTTTTCCAACACTTTTGGCGCATTCTAAAATCTGATATCTATAGAGCTGTAGGGAGTTTTTTTATGCATGGCCATTTATTGAAGAACTAGAAGCATACCATTATTACTCTCATACTTAAGTGCTTTTATCCTGAAACCCTTAGAAATTACAGACCTATTAGTCTTTGTGGGGTACTTTACAAGCTGGTGGATAAGATTCTAGCTGAGAGAATGAAACCTTGTATGGATGATTGTATTAGCCAAGCCCAAACTGCTTTTGTTCCTGGGAGACTCCTACTTGAAAACGTGGTTTTTTCCCATAAAGTCTTTCATTTTTTACATAGGCATAAATCGGGCCCCAATGCTTTTATGACTGTTAAATTGGATATGGAAAAAGCCTACGATATGGTGGAGTGGGATTGTGTTAGGAAATCTATGCTAAAGATGGGTTTTCACCCTAAAATTGTCCACTGGATTTACAATTGCATTTCGTACCCTCCCACTCTTTCAATCTTAATGGGTCAGTCTGTGGTTATGTGACTTCTACTAGAGAGATTAGACATTGTGATCCACTTTCACCCTATCTTTTTATCCTGGTTTCTGAGCTATTCTCTTCATTCCTGAATTCTTTGGTTAACAATGGTCAATTCAATGGGGTTAAGGTTTCGAAGAATGGCCCTATGTTGTCTCATCCCTTGTTTGCTGACGATGCTTTGATATTCTGTAAGGCTGATGCTGCTCATGCCTCTTCGTTGCTTGAGATTCTGCACAAATACCAGGCTTTCTCTGGTCAGAAGGTAAACCTGCACAAATCTTCTATGTTCTTGAGCCAAAACTGTTCTGACTCCTGCAAGGCTCAAATATGCTCTATCCTCCATGGGGTGATTATTAAAAGATCAACTAAATATTTGGGATTGCCACTAGGAATTGGTGCTTCTAAAGTTGAAACTTTCCAATATGTTGTGGAGGCAGTAAGGGACAAGATTAACAGTTGGAAAAATGGCTTTTTATCTACAGCTGGTAGGGAGATTCTTATTAAGGCTGTGTTATGTGCTCTCCCTGTCTTTGTGATGTCATGCTTTGTGTTTCATGTGTCTATTTGCAAAGATATATGCATGTTGATGGCCAGATTTTGGTGGGTAAAAGGGGATGAGCAAGGAAAGGGCATGCACTGGCTTGCCTGGGAGAGATTGGCCATCCCTAAATGTGAGGGGGGTTTGGGGTTTCAGGACATCAAACTTTTTAATAAAGCTCTACTCCTGAACCAACTGTGGAGGGTTATGGAGGAGCCTGATTTGATTATGAGCAGAGTCTTGAAATGCAAGTACTTTCCCTTGTCATCCATCTTTGATTATAAAAAATATGGGGGTGCATCTTGGTTATGGAATACATGGGCTGCTCACCTTCCTATTCTTTAGAAGCGATCTCTATCACTGTTAGGAATGGCAGGAATACTATGCTTAATGACTGGAATTGGGTCCCTGGGTTGAGGGGTGGAGCTCCTATTCTCAGAACTGACATTAATGGCAGTTCTTTTATGGTTAAAGATCTTTTAATTGCAGGAGGTGTCCACTGGGATGCTAACCTAGTTAGAGCCTTATTTGATGAGGGAGATGCTGAGATGATCCTGCAGATCAAGACTCTTAACCCCAATGCTGCTGACAAATGAGAGTCTTCTTTTTTTTGGGAAAAGGTAAGTTTTCTGTGAAAAAAGCTTACTCTTGGTTGATATTTGACAGCCTCAGTGGCAGAAATATGGCTGAGTGCAATAGATTTGTAAGTGGAAATGCTAGAGCTAAGAACAGATGTTGGTCATTGATGGTGTTGTGCAAAATTAAACATTTTATCTGGAAATGTTTTTCTGGGATTTTACCTGTTAGCTGCAATCTTATCAAGAGAGGTCTTGATATTGACCCTGTGTGTAGCATCTGTGGTGAAGAGATTGAATCTCAGGAACATGTCCTCTTCTCCTGTAAGAGGGCTAGACTTACCTGGAAACTGGCTCCAGTGAAGTGGTCTAGAGGTTAGGATGATATGATGAGCTTTAAGGAGTGGTGGTGGTGGGTCTGCTCAATGAACTTCAAGGAGTTATCTGAAGACATAATCCACCTATCAAACATTTTATGGTGGCTATGGAGGGCCAAGAACCTTTGGGTTTTTGAAAAGCAATGAAAGTCAGAGGTGTGGATAGTCCAAACTGCAGTTCAAGATTGGAAGGATTTCAAGGACAACAACTTGTGAGAGTTCCAAGAGGATATAGGAGCTAGCTAGGTCTAGTGTCAGTGGCTTTCTCTTGTTTCTTTCTGTTATTCATGTGCTGATGTGGTTTTTTGTTGGTTTTGTTTGGTTTCTAGTTTGGTGTGGTTCTTGTGTATTTATGTGGCTCTAGCTATTGTTGTTAGGGATGGTTTATTTCCGATTAGGCAGCTTGTTTAGCTTGGCCTCTCAGTGACCCAAGATTCGGGGTTTTCCCTCTGTACTTGTACTTTTTTTGATGTTTTAGTGGAGAATGTTTATCGTTGGAAAAAAAAAAAAGATTAGCTAATAGTTCTAATTACCTCAGATTTACTAAATTAGACAAATGACTCTCATTTTGTCTCAACCGCAACAAATTACCTACCCCAGAAGGCCAATATAAAAATATCAAACTTGTAAAGGAGAGAATGGATGAACTCTACTCCACAATAGAAGTTATAATTTACTTAAAATAGAAGAGCCATCGCCACAAGCATTTCCTTAGGATACCTAACATCCCAACCACCAATCACCTAAGCCCTAGATACACTCCCTGATGTCCATATTTCCTTGACCCATCCTCATTATCAACGAACTTGTGGAAGAGTTTCTTACGAATTCTCTGCTACGATATGGCTAAACGGTATGTGTTTTCTTAACTTATAATTTTTTTTCCCTGGTATTTTTCCTTCTTCATTATTTCGGATTGAGAATATATGTAATTGTTAGATTTTTTTTTTTCTAGATTTTTACGTGGTGAAATTATGCTTACATTCATTTTTTGGTGATCATGAATTTATTTTATTTTTATTTTTTTCGAAGAGAAAAATTATCTTCCTGCAACGCAATCAATTCTTAAATAATTTAATTGTACGTAAGTGAGTGAAATAGGTGGAGGCAAAAAATGTGTTGTTGTAATGACCTCCAAATGACTAATTAGAAACAAGGAAAGCATTGCTTTTGTCTCACTCTTGTAAAGGGAGGAGAAATTTATCATCACTAGTTGTATTATTTTTCTCTTATTATATTAGCTAGCATGATAAATGTTGAGTTAATAGCAGCTTTCTTCAAGTTAGGATGATCTACATTAACAAGCATCACTCGTAAAAGTTGTAGTTGAGATTTATATGCGTTAATTATGTAGTTTGATGGTTTTTTTTTTTTTTTTCAAATTTAATATTTCCTAGTTTAGTAATTTGGTTTTGAGCTGTGCTGTAAAACTTAACCATTGACATTTATAGAATTCTATGGTTTCATTTAGTACCATTACTTCTCATACCTCTTGTATAGAGAAGACGATGAAGGTTGTTTTTCCATCATATTAAAGAAAACACAACGAATGTTGAATTTAATGTTAAAGCTTTTACTATATGGGGATCAACACAGACCTTCCATTAGGCCGAAAAGGGTCCTTTTATCATGGAACTCGTAAAACTTCAGTCCACATTGTCTACCTTTTCATTTTCTACATTCTTCATCCATTCTTGTTTGTGTAATACATAACAATTTAATAAATCCATTTCCAGTAATTTCAGTTCCTCTAGGGTCCTCTGCAAATTCTTTGCCCACGATGCTTGTCTAAAAGGGGAACACTGCGAGTACTCTCATGACTGGAAGGCCCCACCGAAAAACGTAACATCGCCTAACGTTCCTAATTCCAGGCGGTAGTACTTTGACCCACGTAATAAATGAATTGTTCATTTTCTTCTCTGCAGATTTGCACGTACTACCAAAAGAGAACGTGTGCTTATGGAAGTCGATGCAAGTACAACCACATCAAATCCCCCTGCCTGCAGCCCTCACCTTTCTCTTCCTATGGAGACCTTTCATCCACCGAAGAACCTCTTTCCAGCACCACCACAGAACACACACTTCAAAATGGACCATTTTACCCTTCATCAGTTAACGACGAATGCAGTGTATACCGACCCATGGACCGATGTCCAGTTTGTAGGAGGTGGTGCCTTCACACGGACAGGCCATGGGAAAGGGAAGAGCACGCGAGGGCGTGCGAGGGAAAACGGAGGCGGGCAGAGGCAGTGAGGAGGAGCCGGGTTGTGGAGTGCAATGTGTGCATGGAGGTCGTGCTCTCGAAGCCAATGGCAGCTGAACGGAGGTTTGGGATACTGTCGGAGTGTGACCATTCATTCTGCATCACGTGCATACGCAGCTGGCGGAGCAGTACTCAGGCGTCAGGGACAGATGCCAGCTCAACATCAAGATCGTGCCCAGTGTGTCGGAGATTGTCCTACTTTGTGGTCCCCAGTGCCATTTGGTATTCTTCGATGGAGGAGAAGCAAGAGATTGTTAACAGTTACAAGGCCAGGCTGAGGTGCAGGGTGACCCTCTTTGTCTATGTCTCTCTGTTTCACTCTCTAGTTTGATTAGAAATTGATTGTCCTTTTAGGTCTATCGATTGCAAGCACTTTTACTTTGGAGATGGGTGTTGCCCATTTGGTGCATGTTGTTTTTACAAGGTTTGTCTTTCTCTCATACATTCACTTTTTTTTTTTTTT